ATGGAGAGCAGTACAGGAGTTTTGGTCAATTTTCTCTGCCAATTTAAGATATAAATGTAAAGACTAATTTCAGATTAAAAACCATCAATGATCTCAACGACTCAATGTTTGCATTGACTCTCAGTTATGAGATATCGTCGATTAAATCGGAGATTGCCCAAAGAAATTCACTTAATCATCTATACGTCGAGTGCCTTCTTTTCTTACCGTCCGTTCTTTCTATGACGTCCACGATTCTTCTATCTACTTTGACAACCGGATCGTTCGATAAATCTTCCTTGAGTACAAACTGATCCTGTTCGGAAATGACCTCAACTCCTGATGAAAGATGCGAAGGTTCCTGAAACAGTTTTGCAAGTCAATTATTTTTTCCAAAAATAAGCCATGAATCAAATTCTGAAGTCTTACTGCATAGCAAGTCAACACTTGACTAAAAATTACAATGTAAAAGTACAAAAGTATATTCTTCTAAAATTTCGTAAGCAATTTCAAGGAAAATGAACTGTTAGTTAAAGATTAACTCGAACGCGACTTCAGTATCTTAAAAATAGACTCACCGTGCCAGCTGCGGCGTCCACCCGATCAACAGGTATTTTGTCGACGATCGGAACATTCGCTTTCTCGTCAACCATTTTAGCTGCATTGGCGATCATCCATTCAAGAGCACGTGCAGTATCGCCCTCGACTCCCTTAACATGCATTGAACAGCAAATTTTTTCCTTAAATTTTCCCAAAATTCTAACTTCTTCTTCAACAGCAGGTGTGGTAGTTGATTTAGTTGGTACAGCGAGCTTATTCTTTGCTTTGCGAATTCGTTTGCGTAATGCTTCTACTTGCCTTTCTACTTCAACAAGATCGTTACGATCAGATGCCTGAAATTAGAAAGCTGGAAGAGCTGGACGGACTTGCAGTTTTAAGGTAGCATTAGAAAAGAGGGATATGGCTGCGGAATGTTAAGAAATAGAATCCAAAAAATGAACTGTTGATTAACCTAATTTCGATTATGTTTCCTTTGCTATGTATTACGTTGAAAACGACTGTACAATTTGAGTAGGGTGATATATTGAGGAATTTCCACCTTTATTCGCTCTGGCAAAACTCTTTCCCGTGTTCACTCACATTTGTGTGAAAACATATAGATATCCATTCGCTACCTATTGAGTTGCCATCTACAAGAAATAAATGCAAAAACTAGAAAAAATAAGCTAATCCTCTCAAAATATTACAGAATATTTTCATAATTATCGGTACGACTTCACATATTCGCCTTGTGACTCAGCTCGAACATCATGAATGTTTGAATTCGGGTAACTTTCATTATAGAAATAACCAGGTCACCTTAAATTTTTTCTAGCCGACTCGTTTTCGCCAGTTCGTTGACTAGCTGACTATCCATAATGTAGACAATAACTTACCTGGGTAATGTTAGTTTTCGCCTGTGGAAGTAATGCCAATGGCTTTAGCCTCGCTCTTCTGTTCAGCTTCTTCAATCGTCGCTGCCGACTTTTTTTCCCTCTAAGATTTTCTCGTTCATAACTTGAGTAAGGAGCACTTAAAGGAGTAGATGTTGATTTGCGAGTTGGTAATACTATGGCGCCATCCCTGATGGGAAACTGCACTGCGCTGACAACGAAACTTGTTCCTTTTATATTCACAGCGGTTTGCTTTTGGTTGTTACTCAGAGACTTTTGAGGAGGAACAG